AGAACTTAATAAAGGTAAAAACGTTAAACGAGCCATCACCACCAACAGCTTCACTCAGGGTATCTGAAAATGAGCCTGGGGTAGGAGCGTAGGGCCGTACAAGGCAGCATGCCTATCGACAGGCAATGCTAAGCCATAGCGGCTGGTCGACAATGGTCAAGCTTAAGGTGGCCAATCCACCATATTTGCGAATACCAGCACACGAAAATTGTTGTGAAAAGAGCTTCCAAGCGAGCGAAGGTATTGGTTGTGTCGCTTGTGTTCTCAGTATTTTTTTTTTACCAACCTAACCGTTCTACCTCTGCACGTGCATCTTAATCTGGCTGTTGTACCTTATTCGGCGTTTTGGTCATTCCACCGGCGTTGGGGCCAGTAAAAGGAGCACCCGGGCCTTTCTGCAGGACATGATTTAATGCCAGATCCGCATGGTGAGAACGGCCGCGCTTCCCGGAGGCGCCCCGCCCCACCGCACCAGACACCCAAACCGAGCGCAAGCCGAAACATAGAGATAAGATAAAGCGGATCTAGAAGCCAAGGGCGGTTTTTCCTGAGTGGCTGCGGGGTCTCTAAAATCATGGCCCGGGGGCGGTGGATCCTTGGCCGAAAGGCCAAACATATCGCAGGGCAGCCGGGCCGGCCGCTTGCCAAAATGCAAATCGGGCATTTCCACCCCTTCCAGACCGAACCGGGCACAGCAAGCCTGACAGGCAGCGGGGGCAGGCGGGCGGCCCGCGGCTTCCCCACACAAACTGCGCGGGGCCAAGGGGGCGCTTTTCTTCTTCCACTTGCTTTTATCGCGAAACGTGTCAATGCGGGCATCTTGGTTTTTCACGGCCGCGAAGGAGGGGGGGGGGGCAGTGTGAACACCGAGCCCCCCGACGGGGCATTTTTATACTTTGTAGGGCATTATCCGTCTCAGCATCATCTCGATGTCTTTTGCGTGAGGTTCGTTTTTGCGCTGGATGCGATTGAGCAATCTAGATCTGGACTTATACATCACGCTGCCCGCCCCAGAAGCGAAGGAGCGGGTGATCCCGTTTAGGGCCTTCGGATGCGGTTTGTTGTTGTTGTTAGTATTGCGAATTTATCAACGGAGCGAATCACGGCCAGGACGCGTTTTTTCACATTGTGGGCATGAGACGCGCTCTATGTATAGTTCGAGTTTTCGCCTCTTTACCATGACATTTCCGCGCATGAGCGGCTGTTACACATTCGGATGGTATTCGCGCATGCGCCGTTTAAGCTGTCATGCCTCATGGTGCTTTCTAGACGCCGACGACTCCAATTTACTGCCTTCGTGTTCTAGCGGGCGTTCTCGCAGTTCCCCGGGTTAAACACGGGCTGTCTGAATCGCCTTCTGGTTGGCACACAGCCCGCTAGCAGAGGGGTGGCTCAATCTAGGCGTTGTGAATTTACGCCCTTGGCCGCCAACCTGAAATGACACATTTTTGCTCCAGTGGGGGAAGCTGATGTGATGAAGGCCCCGCGTAGCGCCAAATGTTGGAGGAGGCAGTTAAATTACTGTGCCTGGTAGAATCGGCATGGGTTTGCCTGGGCAAAATGTATTTGCATGCCTCTTGCACCATTTGGGGGCGTACAAAAGCGGGCAGTGTGGGTATTGGGTTCTCGACTTTGCACTTCCCCAATGCTTAGCAGCGGGCGGGGCCTTTATGGTTTTCCGCGGGCGAAGCAAGCACCAGCGCCGACCAAGGCGGCGCCCCATACGGCAGCGCCCACCACAATTTTCCCACCGCAGGCCCAGACCCGTTGGCTGGTGCGCTTTGTTATTGGGATCTGCGGGGCCGGGCGGGTAAGGGTGCCCCCGGCATTCCCCACTGTCGGAAGAGGGGTTTGGGGGTGCTTTGTTGTTTTGGGCTCCCGCAATTCCTTCCGGCCCCTGGTTCTGCGTTGTGAGAAAGAACATGCGATATGCTGACCTTCTGGCGGTGCGGCCGCGGCTTCGAGAGCCCTGCGCTGAGATTGCGCCGCGGTTATGCCACAATGCCTCTTCACGTGGCCGTTAGTAAGTCACCACCGTGTGCAAACCACGTGCCATATCGTGCGGAATAGTGGTTGGCCGGCTTGGGCAACAGGCTGGACAACATTACGCATTATGGGCGGAATCCTGCTTGGGAGTTCGTAAGGGGAAGGGGTTTTTGTTTTCCCGGAGGGTGATTCATGTTCTTTGCGCCGGTGGCATGGTGGGCCTGTAGCTTTTCCAGCCGGCCCGCGGCACCATCCAAAATGCCGAAGGAAGCCCGTGCGGAATTGGGCAAGGATGGTTTCGCCGACCCTCGGCATCGTAACTGTCTGCGGTGTTTTGGATATGCTGACAAGGCGTTGTCTATGCGTGCGCTCTGTTGCGGGGGTTTCCTCGCTCTGACTTTGGGCGCGGAAGCAGCGGCACGTCATGAGGATATCCGCGACCCGCGCTGGAGCGTTTTGTTGCCAGAAAAGGGCCCCCTTAGCGTGTCTGTCGGCAAATTCGTGTTGATGAACGTCTGCAGGACAAAATGCAAAATGGAAAAAAAACGCGCCACACGTGAATGGAGGAGGGCGGTCCGCATAAGTAGTTGAAGGGGGGCGCCATCATTTACTCAGCTTGGCCCCTTTTCAAGGGCGCGTGGCGGGGGCGTGTGGGCCGCGAAGGCCGCCATAACTCAAGCGTTATTTTATTTATTTTATTTTTTTTCGGGGGGAGGTCCTGCAGCAGCGTCAAGAGGCCAGCCCCCACCGCCAGACATCCAGCGCGACAGCCGCGCGCAAGGGTTCCCCCACAACATTTTAATGTTTGCAGAAGTTTGCCGCCCTCATAAGGCATGGCGGAACACCCAGAACGCGCGTCACATTCCGCCGGGCCGCCCGCCTGCAGGGCGTAGGGCGAATGCAGGCGCGATTCTGCCCTAGCGAGCGGGGGCCACCCCCGGCCCCTGGGCCCGAGGCTGCGCAAAGCCCGCCGAGAAGAGCGGCGCAAAAGAAGACCCCCCGGAAGCGAAGCAGTGAGGAGGCATCGTGGAGAACATCGAAGTCGCCAATGAAGGCGCATTTGCCCACTGCAGGTCTGGGCGCTGCCTGGGAAGGCCCGCGGGCGCTGCATCCTTCCCCTCCCCCCTTTCTTCTTCAGGATTTGGGGTAACGGCCCGCACTTCTCACCAGAACTATGCCCGAGAGAGGGGGCATGCTTCGTCAAAGGCGGCCGCCGGGAGAATCCCATGCGGGCAATCGCAATGGCAAGAGCCGCGTGCGCATTGAGCCTCTCAATGTTTACAGCTGTCGTGGGGGCGGCTGCATTACACCATGCCACTGCACCGTATAAAAGCTTTGATTTCATGGGGGGCTTCTTCGGCCGGAATGGCGCCTCGCATTTGGGGCCCCAAGTCGCTGCAGACACTGCTTTTATCTTGAGGACGGGGGCCTTGGCGGCGCAGAGTGTGAGATTCACGCGGGTTCTGACTACGCGAAAGGGCCGGTGTGTGACCCCAAGCGGGCGAGGCAGGCGATTTTCCCTACGTTTCACGCCATCGCGCGGGACGCAAGGCTGGCCGTAAAAGTGGAATCAAACAAGACATACTTCGCCTTGGGCGCACTGACCTCGATAAAGTTTTGTTTCGCCCATTTTGAGACACGGCCAAGTCAAAGCTGCAGGGTGCTCTCTGCGGCGTCCTTTCCTCGCGCCTCTGCTGCTGTTGTTGGGTCCGCCGAAAACAAGGCATGCTCCAGGTTGGAAATTTTGAACAGCCCCCACCCAAGGTATTCACCGCGATGGTCAACAACAGCTGGCCAAGAACCGAGCACTGTGGCAACCAACATGTTAACATGACCATTTTCAAAAGCGCCTTCTGCACTCCCACTTTGATTGTTCTTCTTGACAGAAAATCAGCCTCCCAGCAAATGGGATGAGCATCAAACCCGTACAGCCTTATGGCGGCTACGGCGGTACTACCATGATTCGCCGAGTGAAAAGGATCTGGGGTAGTTGGTCAAGGTGGTATCAGCCTTCGCCCTCTTCAGCCGATGTGCCGTGGTGTGGGCGGGGGTGACTGGGCCCAGTGTGGGTTTTGATGTGCGAAAGCCAGTCTGATGCGGAAGGGCCGCTGGTCCCGCTTTATCGCGAATGCAGCGTGCTATAACGCAGCCCATCGCTTTGCCGATGCAGCTGGTGAGGGTGATGGGCAGCAAGGGTGTTGGATCGCTCGCCGGTTTTTCTGGTTTGAGGAGCGGAATCGCGACTCCTTTCTTCCATGGCGCGGGCGCCATTTCTGTAGCCAGGCTGGCGCCGAGCATCTTAGCGCAAGGCTTCAAGGACAGTAGCAGATCCAATGCGCATTTTGTGCAGAACGACCCCCAATTCACCCATAGAATTTGACATGGGCGACCTGCGCCGTCGCGGTGGCATGCGTGACTTGGGGGCCGGGGGCGTTTAGTTAACTTTGTATCGCGCGTTTGGGCGAGTATATCTGTGTTTTTTTTTTCCGTGAGGGGCTGATTATTTTCCACTATCGCTGGCACGCCGGCGGGGCGAGAGGCGCAGACAGCTTTTACCAGGGGCCATCCGCCCCCACCCCCCTCGCCGCGAGCCCGAAGCGGGAGCAGCGGCCACGCCATCGAGCGGCCGGCCTGAATGGAGTCGCATGCGTCTGCGTTTGGTAAGCGGCGTTTGTTTTCCCTGATCGTTGCGCTTTGACAATTTTTCGTCGGGACTGCCTGCCCTTGTGTCCAAAAAGGCGGGCGCACGGCTACTGCGTAAGGTGCGGTGGGTTGGACTTCCTTAAAGGTCGTTGGCGGGTATTTGTCAATTCGGCTCTGCATTGTCATTTGTCTACGATAATCAGGCGGGATACACGTTTTTTTAAAGTTTTAGATCGGGCAGAAGTGGTAAGAGGGATGGTGCTTTTGATATGACCGCCCCGTGCGTTGAACTATCTGTAGGCTTCGGCCGATTTCGATGCTCATACGGGTGTGCTTCAGAGTGGGCTTTGCCTCCTTCATGTGTTTCTTGGCATATTTTCTGAATGTGGACTATTCGGTCTTCTTCAAGCCGTTCAGCCGCTGGTAGCCCTAAAAAACAAGAGGATGGCCTGCCCGAGCTCTCTAACTGGACGTTGTGGGTGATCCGAGCGTTGTCCCTGTCGACTGTAAAGTGGGAAGGCCATTCCGCCACGTGCGCATGATGCGGCAACGCTGCATCCAGAGCATACCGTTGTTATAGCTTCACGGATAGTTTTCTCCATGTGAGAGCCCCGGAGTTGTGGTAGGCGATGCCATGCGCCAACCAAAAATCCATCAGGAGCTCACCTTCCGTTGTGGTGGGCCATGGGGTGTACCTAGGAGGGTGGTGGGAATTTTAATCAAGAGCAAATAATGCGAAGCTATCACCACCCAAGCCCTTAATTCGAAGCGCCGGTCCACTTGGAGCGGATTTTCGGCCTTGTGGGAAATATCTCCCTAATGATTTCTAACCGAGATCGGTCAGGAACAACTCATTGTGACTGTGTTCATTTCCAGACGGTTCTCCTATTTTGGGGCTGGTGGGCTCGGGGAATCTCTCTTACGAGGGTGGCGGTGCTGCAAAGATGCGGAGGGTGTGCCTTAACAAACTGCTGAAAGGAATTAAAAACAAAGCACTCGTATTCATTAGAAGTGAAACGTGTCTGAATAAAGACGCACAACGTAACACATTCATCCTTTAGCCACTTCTTAAGGGGGATTCTTTTTTCTTGCGCCACCCCGTCGGCATTCCACTTGGTAACGCGCAGCACGGGACCCGGATTCAATTCAGCAGCCCGCATGGCTGGAGAAGCTTCCAACGGCAAATCTGTAGTGCGAGGGGTGTCGATACACACCGGCGCGCGCAGATTTTATATGAAAAAACAACAGCGCCCGCACAAATGCCACTAAACGCGGCGCCACCCCCGGCCCACCGGCCATCAACGAATGCCCACAACAAGTCACAAAGGCTAGTTTCTAGAATTTAACTTCCCTTTTTGGGAGGTGCCCACCCTGGCGTCACATTGGGGCGGCCGGCATTTCCAGGGAAACAATAAGGGGCCGACAAAGCGTTGCTACACCTTCCAAAGCGTAAAACAGAGGACGCATCCCTTGCAACAAAAAACGTCAAAAAAGGGCGAGTAAAAAAAACCCGCTGCTGCCAGAGAAGCGGGGGAAAAAAACAACGCATGGCGTGCTTGAAATGATTTGCGCGCACCGACCCCGCCACATCACATTGCAGACGTTTAGATGAGGAAAAAGGAAACCCTCACTAATGGGAAATGCTTGGGGCCACGCGATGCCACTCCTGCGGGCATGCGCCCCACTGGCTTTCTATGGCCGACTGGTGGGCGCCAGTTCCGTAGCAGACGTGGGCTCAGAAGGCGCCGCATGGTCAGAGATGGATTGAGGCCGGGCAGCGCAAAACCAGGCTAAGACGCACAGTGAAACGAGACGGGCTTGCACCCACCGAGCTGATCCGCCCTAAAGCGTCTCCGATGGCACTTTGCTGAGGGCGGGGGTGGTGTGGAGAAGCTATGCCTCACAAAAAAAAATGCCCAGCACCTTCTGCAGAGTAAGACTTTGTTCCAAACGACCTTCCCCGATAGACACGGCAATTGCTATACTCGATCGTGAGTGGTCCATCCCCCCTCTCGGAGCGTTCTTAGCGTATGAATTTTTGCTGAGTTTAATGAGAAGACGCGCCGCGCCTCTGCGGCGATTTGTGCGAGAGGGGGCGTGTGGGTCTGCGGGGTCCCTGGGGGTGGAAATGGCCGCCCGAATCCCTCAGCGCACACCCCCTACACACGGAAAGGCCCAACGCAACGCATAACCGAGTGTAAACGAACGGGGTGGAGAGCAGAAAAATACCCAAAAGAATAGTCTATACCTTAACTTCCCCTATTAAGCAAAAGAGAGAGAGAGAGAGAGAGAGAAAGTAAGCGAGACCTTTAATCTAGATCCCATTTCGAAACCCCTTGCCCCTGGTTCACGTAGAAAGGGGGACTTCCAGTAGCCTCAAGGCCTTCCCCTTATAAGGAAGTTAAAGCTTGTAGTCCCACTGGCGAAAAGGAGGTGCTGAAAGCGCCCTTAACCCGCATTCCGCGCCCCCCTTCGCAAGTCCCACCCCTTCGCGATGCCCGTCGGTAAAACCTTCGCCCGCCGCGATATACCGTCCGCAGGGTTGTTTTCCGACGCGGCATAGCCCCATAAGGCGTG